ATCGTGGCTTATTCATGTGTTCGTGAGTCGTATGGCATATGGCGTATATCGCTGGCGGAGGTATGCACTCCGTGAGTGCACTCTGTCTAGTTTGTTTGTGTGGCTCCTGCGGTGTGTAATGTGCATATAACACCTTTAGTCATGCTACACTGTATTCCCCACACTGCCTTATATTAACCCATGTTCTGCAATGAATGCACACTTGGCAGTGTTAGAAGTAAACAGCAACCTGTTAGTAATTGTAACTATAAAGTAATAGTAATACAGTTAAACCTCGATTATCCGAACGAGACCGGCGGGGAGTATTTTGTTCGGATAACTGATCTGATCGTAGATAAAGGAAGACATACTGAACATAATTAATGTGCGTAAAAAACATGTTTACAGAGTTTTTATTCACAGGCAAATTACGTCAGCAACTGTCCCGACTGTTTCCAGGCAACGTTACGTCAAACGCGCGCTGCCTATCTAGCTTTCTACAGCGATAAACAAAGGCAAAGTGAACAATCAAATGTCTTTTCTTGAATTATGAATAACACGAATGGATTGAAATATTTAATTAAATTATCTCAAAATAAACCTTCATTTCGGTGCAATATTGAAATTAGCTTGAATTCTTCATAACCTCTGAATGGTGGGTGACCGAACGGGTCACGGGTGGTCTAGTGCATGGCCTATTAAATATTCACGGTACCTTGAGATCTTGTTCGGATAATCCGAAATTCAGGTACAATTGATGTTCGGATAACCGAGGTTTGACTGTATAGTAAATAGTAGTAGTGTATACTAATATTAGTAATTATAATGGGGTGTTTATCTCAGTTTATCTGTGGACACATGTGACCTTGAATCTAATGGCAAGAGCAGAGAGTGTGTTCTTGCCGTGGATTGCATATTTGAGCACTTTTGTAGATTCTTCAGACTGGCCACGAGATCAATGAGCTAGACCACAGTGGCTTCAACACTCAAGGACCGACAGTGTTTGCTGGTAACATGGGCAAAAATCAATACATAGTGCAGGTGAACTCAGCGGCCGTCCGTTTGCTTCGCGGAGGTAGGCAGTTGGTTAATTACCTGTTACTGTTTGGGAATAGCTCTGTCATACTCTTTGTATCACTGTTTTATAAACACCATACCTGTGCATCCCCATGCCAGGCTACAAGCATCTCCTGCCAGGCCTCTTGAAAGAATTGTTTCTCAAATATATTAAAAAATTAAAAAATATGTAATAAAATATATTCTCACCTACTAGCGGGTATGTTACTTCACTTACTTGTTATACTAACTTGAAAATAAATGAGGATTTATGCGGTTATACTATAAAATATAGCCAATGAAGCTAGAATAACGAAGCCACATTTTTGAATGTCGTGATAATTGGTTTTTAAATGGTGCAACAGGCACAGTGCATCTCTAATTACGATAAAACTGGATATAGTTCTGCTACGTAGGCGGTTCTAGACCAGTAACCTCATATCTATTATTTTACTCAAGTTACTGTTAATAAAGTGTGGAGATGGTACTGATCTATAAGCTCCTCTCACAAGATGCGAAAATCGTGTGACATCACCAAGGAACCGAAGTTAAATTCAAATTCCAATCTGCATCTATTGGTGAGAATAACGTGTCTATGAGTGCTATAAGACATGTTCGCCTTACTGTAGATGCTTGCTGTTAAGCAGCAAATGTTAAAAAGGTCGGGGAAAATATTTGACCTTATTATCATCTAATGCTATTGTTTCTAGTGGAAATGCAGCAGGAGGTTTTGGTAGAACTCAATGCACCGATTGTGCATGCAACGCTTGCTGACCCATACCTAGTCATCGCCAGTGAGGAGGGAGAGTTCGCACTACTCAAACTACAGGAGGATGCAGATGGCAATGCAAAGCTGTCCCTCACTAAGTCACACGTGCACAACGTAAGTCACTGCCTAGCATGCGTAGCTTACGATAGGGTGGGAATGTGGTTGTAGTTCATACAGTTTTACTAGTGTATAAGAAACTATGAAAATGTTAAGCGTGCATAGTTTTGTTATTTACTGTTGTATGTGTGTCGTTGGGATACATTGGTGATATATAATGATGCTAGAGAATAATACGAATTGAATTTTTGGTTCAAAATCCCACAGAAAAAAAGTAAATATGAAATTGTGAGAATTAAAAAAAAAGTGTATAGTCATTATGAATAAAGTTGGTCCCATCTTGTTTTATAATAGTAAACATAACTTATTAAGCGGACCTACTGCTGTAATCACTCCTGTTATGGACATCATTTCGATACATAATTAAACAGTCTGCTAGTAACACATAAAACATCTCTAGTGAACAGTTATATCCAACACAGTTATCACATAGATCTTATCAACTGCTGCTTATTTTTAAATTCGATTCGGTGCCATTTTGAAAGGGGAACTAGTACATGGTCAAACGCAAACACAGTCGGTATTTCGAGCTTTGCCTATAATCTATTTACTTAGAAGGAGAGTAAAGTGTTGGCACTATCTGCCTACAAGGACACTGGTGGCTTGTTCACTACAAAACCCACGGATGGTGACGTTCCAGCAGATCAGTATTTCACCAACCTGCCTGCTGCTGCTGCAAAACGGGAGGAAAATCATGAGGTCCCTGTAAAGTAAGATCACTTCTGCTATGTGCGGCGCACAATTCCTGCCCCCCCCCACCACTACCGTGAGAAACTAAATGAAAAAATGTGGTCGGCCATGTATCAGGCTGGTTTTTAGCTCACCTTGACATCGTCAAGCTGAGCTATTGCCATGGGTCGTCGTCCGTCGTACGTCCGTCCGTCAACATTTGGCTACGGTCAACGATAACTCAGGAACCCATTGACCCACATGTTTGAAATTGGGTATAGTTGTTACTGCTATGCTCCCATATTGAACGTCCTATTTTGGAGCACGCCAGTTGACGTACTTTTGAGCCACGGCAATTTTTTGGCAAAAATGGGAATTGCCATTAGTCAGTTCAGGTTCAACGGATTTTGCTCATTTTTGGTATGTGAATGAATAAGAGCTAGGGGTTTTGATATTTAAAAAAAAATTATGCAAATTAGGTAGGTTTTGGCAATTATATAGCATATTATAATATAGACACGCAGATAACAGTCTGTGGTGTCACACTCGTCTGGTTCGTTTTACAAGATTTCATTGACAATATCTTTAATGCAAAATTGGTATTTCCTCTCCACCCTGCCGATAAAACGTCTATATTAGAGTAAAGTTTTACAAAACATGTCGGATCGCAGCATAACCTATTTATTTTTAGAACGCCATCGCTATGAAACATCAAAGCGGGTATAGCGCCATCTACCGTCACAAATTGTGATTCATTTTGGTTTATAAATTATTATTGCGATATACAGATGGCATGTGTGCATCTGTGTATCAGTATCACACGTACACCAGCGTGTGTGTGGTCGCTTGCAGGAAGCTAGATGATGAGGATGAGCTCCTGTACGGCGAGTCGGCAGAGCTGCTGCAGCCGCTCAATGGCGCAGACGATGAGGAAATCCAGCGGGAAGCCAACGCGTCGCCACACCTTACCGAGCTGCATGTTGAGGCAACTCACTGGCTGGCTGTTGCCAGGGACGACGGGATGCTGCAGGTAGGTGCATGTCCCCACCTCCGTGTAACCTTGGGGTCGTCGTTGTTGATCTCGTAGCTGTACAATAATAATAAGTACTGTGATACATATTTTTAGCGTACAGATATTTTCGCGAATTCAGACTTGACGGACAATCTCGCGAGTGGTTAATTTCGCGGTCGGTGAATTATGAATTATTTGGTGTTATTCGGTATGAATTATTCGCGTGTTGTTAATTTCGCGGTCGGGGACGCATTCGCGAAATTCGCGAAAATTAAACCACCGCGAAATATACAGCGTATACAGTATATTGCGCAGTGGCTCGCACTATGTGCTTAATTACTTGACAGATCTGTAGCCTGCCAGACTTCTCCGTCTGCTTTGTCGTGAGGAACTTCCCAGCTGGCAAGCGAGTGCTGGTGGACCACGATCAGGAGAACACAGCGTAAGTGCTGTCCTCGCCTGCTGTTTGTTTAACAAAGATGCCATGTACTATTGTACCTCGTTTAATGGATACGACGCATGCTTGTGATTGGTTATGAATAATGTTCAATAGCAATAAAGAATAATGTTTATAATCAGGAAATAATAATATTAATTAATAGATTTATTCGTAATTTTTTTTAACTTAATGTAATTATTAGGCACGTGTTTACGAATATCAAAAATAACTCGTCGAGCACATTTAGGGAGGCTGCGTTTTAGGATGAGGGCTGCGAAAAAGAAGCACAGGGGGTGGCAGGGCGCCGGGCTGTGTGTGCCAGCGTGGACACCCGACCTTTAAGTGAGAGCACGTTATATTGTCTATAGGGCGAGGACTGTGAATGAGAAGCCTGCGGAGGAGGTGACGTCGACGCAGGAGGTGAAGGAGCTGATGCTAGTGGGGCTCGGCAACATGAGCTCTCGCCCTCACTTGCTGGCACGTGTCAACGAGGAGCTGCTCATCTATGAAGCGTTCCCCTACCGCGGCCACGGACGCGAGAAACACCTCAGGCTGCGGTGAGCGCGCCCACGCACTTTCGGCTAGTCTGTGCCTGGGAAACCCTGCAAGGAAACCGTCTTATACATTCGTACAAGGCAATAATTCAAGCTGCGAGAAGTTGAGGAGTATAGGTTCTTGTGAAAGTGATATATATATATATATATATATATATGGTTTCACACATTAAATTCACAGTGAGATGAATGTCCAGTCCTGTTGCAGTGGGAATGTACTCTGTATTGCCATAATTGTGTAGGATATGAAATATATCCTATACGAGCTCGTATATATGCTATGCAATTAATTGAAAATTGCACCCAAATTATTAACTGTTATATTTAGGGCTTCTTGATATAAGTATTATGCATTTTTATTAACGTGTGATAGATACCTAACGTATTTATAGAACTAAAGGTGATATTACACCTTGCTCTATGAGTGAATGCGAATTGCATTATACTTGTTCAGGTTTTCAAAGGTGCCGATCAATTTGCTGCTCAAAGAGAAAAAGGTATCAAAGTCTCGGAAGAAGGCCGAGGCAGAACAGAAGGCAGTCTTCAGCAAGCACGTTAATCGGCTGCGGTACTTTGAAGACATCGCTGGATACAGTGGGGTAATAAACTGATTTCCCATGTATTATCTAGATATACTCGCGTCTATTCTAAGGCACAGGTGGTCTGAGATGTGCCAATATATGTCAATATTATTATGTAATCGCATACCTCCTCTCGTAATTTTCTGCGACATATGACGGGATGAATTCCTTTTTAGGTAAGTTTGAATGTTTGTGAGTAGAAATGTGATGGTTGGTCTGTTACAGATTTTTGTCTGTGGTCACTACCCACACTGGCTGTTCATGTCACAAAGGGGTATTCTTCGAGCCCATCCGATGGGCATAGATGGATCTGTAACTTGCTTCTCACCATTCCACAATGTCAACTGTCCGAAAGGATTTCTCTACTTTAACAGACAGGTAAGTGTTGATGTGCTCTAGACCAACATGTCAACATGGAGATCTGTGTGTATGGAGTAGTAATCCACATCACTTGTATATATGTGTCAATTTGAAATTAATGAGATTGCCCGCCTCAATCTAGTAGCTGTTTTCCTCAACATAGAACTTTCTTTGTTGTTGGTAATGGTACAATCCTAGTAAAAGCACTTCCATACAATTTGCATGTTTCATCGTATTAACTAGTAGTTCAAAATAATATTTCATGGCATCAATGATTATCAGTAATACTGCAGTACAATGCTGCAAACGTTAATCAGCGAGTTATTCTGGCAAACGTTGCATGTTGCAGGGGGAGCTCAGAATAGCAGTTCTACCCACTCACCTGTCGTATGATGCACCGTGGCCCGTGCGCAAGGTTCCACTCCGATGTACACCGCACTTCATCTGTTACCATCTGGATAGTAAGGTGTGTGCCAGATTTAAGCATTAGTATTACATGTGCTCGGTCCAGCACAGCAAGAAGGTTCTGTCCAGACGCTTGTATTTGTTGTATCGTGAGCGTGACCAGAAAACATGTGTTTTTGTGGTATAGACTGTTGGAAGTATAATCCATGAAGTATAAAATGTTATTTAAGTATGTTATTACTCATTGCGATCACTACAGCCAACTTCTGCATACAAGAAAATCATGATATTCCATGTAGCCTTTTCATTTTATTGTTTTTGTAATGACTACATTATCCAGCTGTAGGTAACATTAGTAGGTTTTTCATGTGTAAAACCTATACACAACTAATTCACACTTAAATAGTCATGCAAGCAGTCTACCAATTAAATGTTTATATACAATACATTGTATACACTAGTTTTCCTGTTGCTTTACTAAAGTGTACCTAGTTTTCCTACCCTTAGAAGTGTGAAGGGTCATTGCTATAGATCTAACTGACATTTATTTTAGACATACGCGCTCGTGACAAGTGTGCCAGTCACTTGCAATCGCAGTGTCAAGATGGTTGGGGAGGAGAAAGAGATAGAGACTGTGGAACGTGGTATGCAAAACTAGCTGCTCTATGAGTTATAATGTGTCACTGCACTTGGGTGTAATGTTTGTATGCAGTGCAAGATATGCAAATCTTTGATATTTAGGAGATAGTATTTCCTTACGATATAGTATTTTCTTGCTTCATTGCTTTCATACATAATTGTAGTTTTAGAAATGTTAGTGTTAATAACTACATAATTATTAAATAATTTAAATAATATTTGACATTGACATAAACTCGTTTTCCACTATACTTTTGTAGTAATATCTTAGCTGTAACATCATGTACAATTTGTCACTAGTCCACATATGAACATGTTTCTATTTGTTTTTTCAGATGACCGTTTTATTTATCCAACTATCGAGAAATTCAGTGTGCAGTTGTTTTCACCTGTCAGCTGGGAAGCCATTCCCAATACCAGGTTTGTGTGTGCTAGTCTTTCATTCTGTACGGGTCATCATGTTACATAATGTTATAACATATATTATATTATAGCATATGTGCTTTATTGCATATAATTTAAATACATATACATTTACAGAATTTCATTCTTGTAAAAAAGATCCGATGATCGCGATAGTATACAAACAATATGTTATATATCATGGTTTGTACAGTCCTTGAAAAGTCCTTGAATTTGAGGGTAGTCCTTGAAAAGTACTTGAATTTAGTAAATGTTGATTTTGTGCTTGAAAAGTCCTTGAATTTCATGAAAATGTCCTTGAATTTCCGATAAAATGTCCTTGAAAAGTCCTTGAAAAAAAATTCAGCCCTCCTGTATGAACCATGTATATGTATACAAATACGTATGTAATTCTAAATCTAAAATAAGAAAATGTCAAGACCATCACCATCAAACGTTGTTTCCCAAAGTACTTTGCACAATGATTCTCATTGGCTTGTTACCTGTTGCAGCATTGAGTTTGAAGACTGGGAGCATATCACGTGTCTGAAGAATGTTTCCTTGAAGTCAGAGGGTACGGTCAGTGGATTGAAGGGTTACCTCGCCGTCGGAACAAATATTAGCTATAGTGATGAGATCACGTGTAGGGGTAGGGTAAGTACTGGAACCTAGTATCAGTGCTATACATGAGAATCGTTATTCAGTCAAGTTACCAGGCCACTCCTAGGAGAATTTTTGTTTCATAATTGAGGTGGGTGGGTGGATCAGCTAAAGTATTCTTTACTGTGTACACAGTCGAATCTAAGGATAACACCCAATCATTTACATGTAGAGCAGTGTTGGAAATAACTTACTATCGCCTAGTCCATGAATGATAATTTAAACGGGACTGGCTATTTTTTGTGGATTTAACTATATTTATATAATAGAAACTAACACTTTCGGAACCGGGACATGCTGGGTTTTCAAAATAATTTTCATGAATGATAAACTATTATAATTGGAAAAACACGCTGTATGGTTTATCGGGAGTGCAGGGCTCATTCATGACAAACAAGAATTCATTGAGAGTACAATGTCCGTATCTTTAGAAACAAGAATTACTTTTCTTGGCGAATCATGTTTGCATAAAGTTTTTAGATGTATTTGTTATATAAATACAAAACCATACATGAGCATCCTGATTATCACTGCGAAATAAAGTTGTAAAGATTCACTAATAAATACGTAGTTATATGGTACAGTAATAAGTAGAGAAATTATACTTCAAAATCATTCTGTGCGGTTGTGAGATATATATAAGTGTTACAGACTTCTATACTTTTTCAGACAAGTATAGAGTGACTATATAATTTTTAAGTATGCATGACATCGTGAAGTCGATTCTTTATATGATCGCTTGCACTTCTCAATGACTGGCTGCAAGTGGTAACGTACGAATCTCTTTATAATCTTGTTATCGATCTACTTCTAGATACTTTTACTGGATGTGATAGAAGTTGTCCCAGAGCCTGGCCAGCCCCTGACAAAAAACAAAATCAAGGTATGGTCTGATATTAAGATTGTGAGTCGAGCTACTGCTGAGAGAACACGATTAATAGGTGGCGTTAGCGAGCTGTCATAAATTGGCTGCTCAGTTTTTCCTGGTCGTTTATTTGCCATAGCTAATGACACTTGGCTATGTCAACCTCTGCAATTGTAGTTCTGTGTAGTAAAGTGATTTATAACCAATAGGATGAGAGACTAGATAGAGACGGTTATCTGTTCGCGTTTGGACATATGCAATCCCGTGCAGCAAGAGTTGCATCAGTATTTATCCTTGCTGGGTAATAATGTATTTTTATAATTATGTTGACGAGCTTTGGAAATTACAGGATAATCTGACGTTTAAGCTGTTTAGCAGAACATGGGCCAATAGTCCAGGGGGTACTATATGTGACTTATGTGGTTAGAAAATGCAGATTGTTTCATAAAAGGTAGGTTATTGTTGTAGAGTAAAGGGCTTCATAGGTTGAGATAGTCATCACATGACTGTCGTGTGTAAACTTATTTGAATCATGTCACTAATATTCATGATAGTGAATTCATAAGCTGTCCTGTGCTTAGCTGTAAATGCACCTTCTCGTACACTCTCACTGGCAGGAGAAGTGCCAAATTCTCACTTCTACTGTGTGCTCTTTCACCAAACACGAAGGGTCGCTATAGCCACCCGCTCTCTCTCCTCTGCACTACTTCTACTGCTGTGGTTAGAGATTAATGAAATGTCACACATCAATGTTATTGGAAATTTAAAATTATTCTAAATATTTCACCCATTACGGTTATTACCACGGCAACAACCTATTGAAAACAATAGCTTATAATTTTCTCAATGTCGTCAAAAGTTACGATTGGTTGTTTTCGCTGCAGTGTGTCTGACCTCTATAATGCAAAGAGGTGAAATTATATTCATGTAGTGTTATTATAATTCCATTCAGCACAGTATTGTCTAAGGATGTGTGTTCTCGTCTGTGGTCTGATACATAGGTTCTGTATGATGAGGAGCAGAAAGGTCCAGTGACGTCACTCACGCAAGTTGCTGGTCATCTGCTCGGTGCCATTGGCCAGAAGATCTACATGTGGGAGCTAAATGGAGATCAGCTGGTTGCCAGAGCATTCATTGACACCCAGGTGAGTAACGAGCGGGAGCAGATCACCTACACATTACTCGTTGCACATTTTGAGGTGTGTGCATACCTAACTTGTTGCCAAAGGTCAGGGGTATGCCTCCTCCCCCACGTTTAGATTTCCGTTTAGAAAAACGAATTGCAGCTATTAAATTAAATTTGACTTTAATGCAGATATACGTGCATCAAACGATCGGCCTGAAGAACTTTGTTCTCGTGGCAGACATTGTAAAGAGCATCTCTTTGTTGCGTTATCAAGAGGAAACAAAGACATTGTCTTTGATAAGCAAGGTAGGTTCGTCTTTAATAGCAGTCAGTCTAACCCACTAATTAAGGTTTCTTTAAATGTTCTGATACGTATTCTTTGAGTTTGCATTCTTAATTTTGCCAACTTTTATATGAAAGTACCAGCTAAATATAATCTGATCCTTTAATACAAGTGAATGCATGGTAAATAATGCCAGAGTTGTTATGTATAACTTGCATTAGAGGTAATAATGAATGCTATGCTGTTCATTTTGACATGTTCATTTTGAAAATCCTGAGCTCAGAAAATAATGGTTAAAGTTATATGTGGACCCTACTTTCAAAATGAGATCATGAGTCACCTCTTTTAAATAGTCATCATCTCTGTGTCACCAACCTTTGCTCATGCAGTTGTATAACTTCATAGCACATTCCTTTGAACATTCCTTTTACAGGATATTAAACCAATGGACGTGTTAGGCATTGAATACTTCATTGATAACACGCAGATTGCATTCTTAGGTGAGCGGGGCATATGAACGTATGAATGTGTGTGAATGTTGTTGTGCGTACATGCCTTTTTTCTCTCCTGCCTATTCATGGGTATGGGTTCACTATGAGTGTGTGTAGATGCATTCATGTATGTTTGCATGGATACAAATTAGTAGGCGTCTATTTATTCCATGCCAGGAGAAGATTTAAAACCTACTATAAATTTGACAATAAAATTATTTCACGTAAAATTTCCTACTGACATAACCTGGTAACCCTATCATTTTTATTAGTGTTATGTGTATCACACTTGCGTAGTCATGTGTTTTTGTGTGGGTCTGTAAGTGACTGAATGAGAGTGAGTGAGTGAGTGAGTGAGTGAGTGAGTGAGTGAGTGAGTGAGTGAGTGAGTGAGTGAATGCAGGCGTGCGTGAGTGAGTGGGTGGGCGCGTGCATCTGTGCTATGCAGTTAAACAATTGCAACCAGAAAACCAACCAACCAGCTGTAATGCTAATCATTCGGTGTGTGTTGCTCAGCCACGGACACGCACTGCAACGTATTCCTGTACCTCTACCAGCCTGAAGCAAGAGAAAGCTGCGGTGGGCAGCGGTTGGTGAGGAGGGCCGACATCAATATTGGATCAAGGGTCGTATCGATGTTCCGAGTTCGATGCAAAATACAGGATCCATCAACCGACAAAAAAGCCAGCAGTTCGGTAGAAAAGAAACAAGTCACTTTCTTTGGTATGGTGTTAGTGGATTGTGTACGTGCAGCACATGAGACCCCGGCCACCGTGGGTTTATTGAGTTGACGTGTGTTTGTTTTCCTGTCATTCTTCACTCAGGACATAAGAAAAGTTCAGATGTTTCGTAATCATAAATAATCATCAGCTCTATCACTCTACGTTTCCTTATGCATTGTTACCTAATAGTGCGATAAGAAACCTTAAAAGAAATATAAAGGGTAAATGGTTAGTGGGTGACTAGTGAGAGCATAATATTAGTAAAGTGTGGGGCACTGCGATGCCGATGTGTATGGCTTTACACTACTGCTGTGGACCAGTGTGATATTCAAACATGTACGGCAGATGTTTGCAGCTGTGCTACCCTACACTAAGACGTGTAAGCGTATCTTTTAGACTAAAAAGTGTTACTCACGTGCGTAATTGCTCTTGCTTGTAGCCACGCTCGACGGCAGTTTGAGCTACCTGTTACCGATGACTGAAAAGACGTACAGGAGGCTGCTCATGTTACAGAACGCACTCGTCATACACATTCCACACAATGCTGGATTGAACCCCAGAGCCTACAGGTATATATCACTTCTATCTCAGCAGTGCGGTTCACCGTTATATTAACAGCTGCAAAAGATACATATTTTCCCTGTTGCCCACACGAGTGGAAGAATGGGTCTATGGCGTCATAAACACACCAATACACGTGTACTATATGTATACTGACCCCATTGACCCATATATGCACCTCTACACCCGTCACAAACACTATGAGGTGTACGTCAGAAGACTTGGCCAACCAGGAACAAGTACAGATCACGTGATCAGAGGATCCTCCCTTTGATTCGCCCACCAAAGTGAACGGCACCCCATTTCGGCGCCCACCTGCGCCCCCCTTTGGCACCCACTCAGACCATGTGGTGCCCCCTTTCAGCCGTGGGCGGATACACTCAATGAATGCGCAGCACAAAGGCAACAATTCCTACGCAACAGGAAACCTATAGCCAAGAAGCCATACAAGCACACACTGGGGAAACATACAATTGCTATGCCATCTTCCTCGTTCTGTGAACATCTGGTTACCAGAATGAAAAGATGTTTTTTCTTGCTCGACTACTAGTTATAATCACATGGAGATTTCCATCTTCGAATTGGTGGTTGGAGGAATTTAAATAAATGTCCACATCGAGTCTAAACATTTCATGAATTAAAGGGACAGTAGCCTCTAGGATTTTACTGCATACAACTGTACTTACTGTATAACAAATCATCTATACCCACACGCATTTGTTACCAGATACCTAATTTAGTTGTTATAATTAATTACACATCAACT